TGCAGGGTTAGACCAATACTCGGTCGGATTGCAGTATGTAAAAAGTACCTCCTATTTGAGGTCTAGTAGGGGAAATATTCGCTAACGATTTGTCTCTGCGATTCATTATTTCAATTGGCAAATTGTGAATGTAGGACAGTCAGTTTAGGCGAACTTAACGGTGGTGGCTTAAGTTTATCGAGAAAACCCTTTCAGCAGCGACCAACACAATTGGATGCGCTGTTTATGAAAATATGACTTTCAAAAAGCGAAGGAGTATATTGCTCACCTCTCCACCGAGTACCACGTTAGTGTTATAATATTTTTTGTTTTATACTCTTATATACTGCTTCGTTTGACTTTGAGGACGAATGTGCCCTTCGTCTGTGTTGCAGGGTTACACCAATACTGGGTCAGATTTCAGCTTGTCAAAGAAAATTCATATTTAGCGGTCTTATAGAAGACGAGTTACTTAGCAATTCCTCTCCGCGATGTATTGTTGCAGTTGATAAATTGTTCAGGTGAGCTTTTCGCGCGTAGATTAAGTAAATAAGGAAAAACCTTGCTGCTGCGATCTTCAGGCCCGTTTCGATTTAGGAAGTTGGACGCTTAGTTGCTGGAATATAATGTTATTCACAGAGGTATTTGACCATACGTTTGAGGTAGTTGTACGAGTGCAGGACCACGTGTAAAGGCGACCGCGTCTGAAGTGTGAGATCACGGGAGTCATAACAGCGTCTACAGTACTATTTTTTAGTCATGATTTGTCAACGAAGAATGCTATTTTCGGCAGTGTGCAGTGTCCTTCATTTCAAGAGAGAAGTACACTTTAGTTTAAAAATATTCTTTCAAAAGTTTCAGCAAAAATCATCCTTCCAAAGGATTATATCTCTAACAATATATATATTTATATATCACTCGGAATCCTGATATTTCAATGCATATTTATGCTCATTGATGATATTCATGTAAGCATTGAAACAGTCAAGTTTTGTGAACGTCAGTTTTCGATTTTTTATCATCAGGTAGTTGCAATAATGTTAGGGGGGATAGGAGGACAAAAGGATGCACAAAAAATCAACAGTACGTAAGAAGGAGACGGTTTGCAGGGTCAAGGAGTCCAACTCTAGTCCAGGCAAGGGGTCAGAGAGGAGAAGCTATGGCTCTGACAGTTCGTTCAAGCGGTTTCATTTTGTCGCACATGAGAACAGGTCACCCAACATTTATTTGGGGTGCAAATTAAAAATACAATTTTGGCAAATACGAAACCGCTTTATTTCCCGGCATCTTTATGGGGTTACATAGTTAGATGAAGTAAAATTTGTTTCCCTTCTTAGTTGCAACTGCAGTCCAACAGCTCCAAGCACTTCTCTACATCTCATGACTCAGTGCCAAACTCCACGCAACCAGAAGACCGCCAACGAGCGAACAGAGACCTGCACAAGTGGATGTGTTCTGCATGCTAATGTGACTTTCAAGAGGAGAAGGATTATATTACTCACCTCTCCACCGAAGAACACGCTAGTTTTACAGCACGTTTTGTTTGCTGTTTCATTTCAATTAAGACAGCGAAAGTGCCCTTCAACTTTGTTCCAGTGTTGGACCAATACCCGATTAGATTTCAGCACGTCAAAAAACCTCCTATTTAGAGGTCTGCTAAGGGAAATATTCGTTGACGATTCCTCTCTGCGATTCATTATTTCAATTGGCAAATTGTATATGTAGGACAGTCAGTTTAGGCGAACTAATCAGTGGTGTCTTAAGTTAATAAAGCAAACCCTTTCCGCTGCGATCTTCAGTCCGAGTTCTGTGTGGGATTACTAGAAATAAGATGTCAAGAGAAAGGAATATTTTAGTCTTTACAGAGGTAGTGTAGCATAAGTTGGAGGCAGTTGGCCGTTAGACGAGTGCGCGACCGTCCGCGAGGGGGCTGCTACCGAAGTTTGAGTTCACGGGAATCATCACAACGTCTTTAACGCAGTCATGTTTGAGGCACCCACAGGAAGACGATTGGCCAGACAGGGTTTGTGGTAGGCAGGCAATGGGGATTGCGCAATTGCTAGCAGCCGCGAGAGGTTGAGGGTGCACACGAAGTGGGAGTAGTACAAGCTCTCTTTGTCGGACGAGCCATTATGCAAGTTTTTGTAGCCTGAATAGATATGATAAGTAAGTGGTCAAGATGTATTTTAGAGGCCCTAAAATTCCCGTGGACCGATAATGAAAAACAGCTTTTCAATATTCGGTAATCTGACTTTAAATTGTTTCGTTAAATTTCCATTTTTGTTAAATTGCGCCTACATAAGGTCGAATGTACCTCGATAAGTATTCGTATCCTGTGCAAGTGAGGTTTATATTGATCGAATTCATTCTATTTTAGCATTTTACAACAAACCTAATCACATTAACCTTAATATTTTTGATCACGTCCGCCACCTAGTCCCACAGCGACGCACTCAGTTGCTTCTGGGACGTCCTTGATGTATGACAGGGCGTGCCATATCGTCTGTGGTTCTTCCGTTTGGGTCGTCCGGGGCCGAAAGCGTAGGCATCGGTTAATAAACACTTTTGGATGACCATTTCGAACCATTTTATTACCCATGATCTTTTTGGAGTAACATTGGTAAATGAGTTATCATTTTGTTTTTTTATTAGTTGCAACGGGAGTCGAACAGCACTAAGCACTCCTCTACTTCTCGTGATTCAATGCCACCGTCCACGCAACCTGAAGGTCGGCAACAAATGAACCAAGACCTGCACAGGTGGATGTGCTCTATATGCAAATGTGGCTTTGAAGAGGAGGAAGATTATATTACTCACCTCTCCACTGAAGAGCATGTTAGTTTTACAGCAAGTTTTGTTTTATACTTTAAATGTTGCTTTATTTGACTTTTGACTACGAAATGGCTCTTCAAAATTGTGTCAGTGCTACAGCAATAGTCGGCTAGCTTTAAGCACGTCAAAATGAATTCCTTTTTACGTGTTTGATAAAGGAAAGGTAGGTTGATGATTCCTGTCCGCTAGCCTCAATGCTGTCGGACGGTTAGAGCGATACTCGGCTAGATTTTAGGACGTCAAAGGGAATTTCTCTTCGGGGTCTGCTAGAGGCGATTTATTATTGCAGTTGATAGATTGTCGGTATAAGCCAATCAGGTTAGGTGAAATTACCGTGGGTAGCTTAAGTTAATACGGAACACTTATGATTTAGATTGTATTGAGGATGATTTGTGTATCTTCTGCCTCGTAGGTTATTATGGATGCAAATTTTAGAAAGAGCCTCTTTTTTTCGAAAAATGATCCAGTTTTGTTTATTTATCGCTTTGACATTGGTTAAAATGGTTATTTTGTCTAGTCACTACGAAGAGTCTTTTAATACGCTCGTTTTGACGAATTATACGCGATATTTAACAAAAAACGGCTATTTAACCTTTTGAAGATGTGTAATTTAAGAAATAAGTATTTGTGAATCTCTGTACATAACGTAGAGAAAATAGGCTATTGTAGGAAAACGCCGATGGGTGTATGGGAATCTTAGTTTTTCAGATTTCTTACCAAGCAATGACTTCAAAAACTACAAAAACTAAACGATGAAGCCATAATGAGTACCATTTTTGCATGGCAGCAGCTTCACATACGGCGGCGACACACCCG